ACGTGCTCTGGCCAGCGTGTGCAATTCCGTGACAGCGATCGAATATTTCGCCCGAGAAGGCGGTCCCGAGCTATTGACGGATTTCTTGGGTGCGGAATCCACCTCCGAGAAAGAAAAGACCGAAGCCACCGCCTTGGTAGTGCAAATCACAGCGTCGTGGACCAATGCGCGAGGTCTGCCGTATCTCGAACCTTTTGCAGACTCGCTTATTCCGGCATTGAATCAACTGATCGAGAATACAAATTGCGCACAGACCTTGCTGTTGGCCGCCGCGGCGCTCAATCAATTGTCCAAGTCGAGAATATGCGCTACGATTATATTGGAGGAGGACAGCGTGAAGAAGCTCCTGAGAAGCGTGAAGAAATCCGCCGGCGGTAATGTATGGCTGATGGAACAGGTTGCCGCATTAATCGATGAACTGGCGCGGGTTCCAGAAGGCCGATCGCATTTAGCGAAAGCACGAGCTTCTGTAGCATTAGTTTCTTTTCTCCGAATGAGGCCACCGGGTCTAGAGAATGCATACCAACGGCTCGAGATTACCGCAGCAGCTGCGTTGACCCGACTCTGCGTAGAGCCGGAGATCGCGAGACAAGTGGTCGCTGTCGGCGGCGGGGATTGTTTGCCAGGATCATGCAGAATAAATGAAGCTCAAATGGATCAGAAAGACGAGGAGGCGCAGGTGGAAACGGGCTTGTTCAGATATACTAGATCGTTGAGACGAGCGTGCAAGAAGGCTGCGAAACAAATCGGGATTGCGAAGGCAAAGGATCACAGCCCACTGGACTGAAGGGATTCTGGAAAGGACAAAAATTTGTTGCGATAATTCATACAATGTTGAATAAGTAAAAGATTACGCATAATGAAAAAAAAGACTGTAAATACATTTTATAATCGCGAATTATAATTACAATAATTATATTGTAAAAAAATAATGCGAGGAAAACAAGTATCTTTGTTAAATATATATGTATAAATATATATGTAACTCCCGACGCACCGTACAGCAAGGGATGCGTACTGTAAAAATGTAAATGTTTTCTTTTGTCACGTACATACTAACAAAATGTGCCATAATATACATTTATGAAAAAAATATAGTATAACAATTAACCATTATCTTATTAATTGAATATGTCCTATTTTGATGGTCCTCCGTCCACAATAAGATTGTTTTTATGAAGAATGTGTATAGTAGTCTCCTGGCAGGGTCTTAACTCTAGATCGCACGAGCCAAGAACGAATTTGCCTTCCGGCGTTTTAAAATAATCCAATCCACGCCCGATTTTTATCACCCATCCGTTGCTCAGTCTGAAATAAAAAGAAAGATAACTGATGAATTCGGAATAAATTTTCAGAGCGTAACAATTGTATTGGCCTTACGTGATCTGTCTGTCGTGCAACGTCTCGGAGAAAGAAAAGTCAAAACAAATATCACGAGTCGCCAAACTTTCTTTCAGCTCGGCCAATCTCGAGATTTGGCTAGGTTCTTTCGCGTTGTAAGTCGTAAGCAGGGATATCTTGGACAGTGCACAGCACTTTTGAACTGCCAGCTCACATAATCTGACCAGATTCTGACACTGTGAAAGAAGACAGAATACAGGAATCTCAGCAACAATATATCAAATTACATACGTATTATTATACATTCACATATTAGTCTCGAAACACAATAGATAGTAGTAAACCTTAAGCTGTAAGAAATCAATCAATCATAATCGATTATTCTCCTTATATTCGACTGCTTGTAGACAATATCTTATATCGGGTCTACAAATTTTACAATAGAAGTCGTAGCAGTCGTGGAGTTTTAAGTCGTAGAAAATTGACCAATCATAGTCGATTATTCTTTTCATATTCTACTGTGATTGGCTAATTTTCTATGTGTGACTTAAGATCCTACGACCACTACGATTTCTATTGTAGATCCCCCGTTATGATTTAAAATAGGAATGCACCGGATATCCGGAAAATATCCGGTATCCGGTATTATCCGGCACTTTTTTTAATTTTCGACCGGATAGTTGTCTAATCAGTATCCGGGAATATATCCGGTTGAAATTTGATTTCAACATTAAAAAAATTATTAATTTTTTATTATACAAATGTTCTAAAAATAAGTATGCATATTCATAATGCTATAATATCTTATACATTGTTGCAAAATTACAATTTTTTTCTCTATAGCCTTTTTATTTAAGACATTTTCCCGGAATCCGGTCGGATATCCGGAAAATGTCGAATATCCGACTCGAAGAAATTGCCTTCTCGGATATCCGATGTTACATTTTGTTCGGATATTCGATATCCAGTAATTTTATGATCCGGTGCATCCCTAATTTAAAGCTTACTAACTATTGTATTTCGGGGCCTACGCAAACAGCACACACCTGGTGGAAGACTCGTATATATGGATCTTCGATGTCAATCGAAGTGACGGTACCATCCAAGAATCTGCCGAAGACACTCGCGTAGCCATACCCCGTCGATCCATCCTCGATTTTAATCAATTCCGTGTATATACCAGCTGATTTTCTCGTACTAATTAACTTCTTCACCTTCTCTGCTCTGTCAAGGTACTCTCTCGCTTTGGTCGTAAGGTACTCCACCTTGAATGCTTCCTTCGTCTCTGCATCGTTTTATTATCTTGAACTTCTTGACAAAGGTAGTAATGATAAAGCTGATATAACATTTTTTTTTTCTCTCTTAACAAACGAAGCTAGAAGCAAAAGGTATCTATATTGATCTATATAGTATACCTTTTACCGCGTCGAGGAGTATCTGCACGCCTTCCTGGTACAACACCAACGCCATCGTGTATCGCTCGTTCTTATCCATCTCCACTGCTCGCTTCAGGACCGAGACCGCTGCGGATTCCATCGTACCTCGTGCTCCAGGGCGCGACGATGCGCAACGTTAAGCCGTGTTCTAGAAGGATACTAACGATAAGTCACGATCGTACGTGAATAGTTACGTCTTTGTCTCCTTAATCTGATGGCTTTATCTGAGCGCACACGATAACTCGAATAAACATAAGGTCTGTTCTTTTTAGCTAAAGTTCTTGAGC